TGCAGCCATGGAAACGGGAATCTCTACAAGGATTAAAATTGCCTGCAAGGGTCTGAGTAGCTTGTCACGGGGACACCTGGTGCAGTGTCACAGCAGTGACTGTGTCCTGTATGCTCTAACCTGTGAACATCTGAGACCTTCTCCCTTACTGGGAATATGTATTGGGATTTGAACCCATTAGTGTTACCTTTGTCTCCATGACTTACAAGGTTTGTTTGATTTCCAGCTCAATTTCAGATGTGTTCAGCCCAGAGCCAAAAAGAAAGCATGAGTAAGTTCTTCGAAGTTCTCCATCTTTCTTATTCATGAGCAGTGCTTGGTGCCCCTTTTTGGGGGCTGTTTTTCTGAAGCCTTAGACATCTTAATAAAGCTTCAGAGAGGATTGTTATTGTTCTCAAAATGTTTTTTTTCTGTGACTGTTTATTTTAAACTACTATAAGATCTGTTATTCAGTCCCAGAACAGTGTTTGTAATGACCAATATTAACAAGTGAAACGCAGACACAGATCATATTCCCAGTGGTAACATTTTTGTGTTTCTGTCACCCTGCACCTGAAAAGCTGTGTGAAGTTCTTTGAAAGTGAACAAGCACACAAGTGAACATATACTGTGTAATATCACGGCATTCAGAATACAAGGCACTCCTAAGACTTCATTTTTTTCTTCATTACATGAGAAAGCAGAATGTCTAATGCATGATTTTCTCAGGGTCTGTTGGAAGAGATGGTAATGTAGTTAATTTTTTACATGTTTATTAGACTGCTGCTGAACTAAATATAAATTAGTAATGTTTTATGGATTATATCCATATATTTAGCTTGATAAGAATTGTTTCATTGGCATGTTTTATTAGACTAATAATGTATATTTAGCTTGATAGTGTAATTTTTATTAAAGATCCTGATCCTTTTTTCCTCCTAATTTCTTTTGTTCAAATTTGAGGTTTACAGCTTTCCAATTTATTTGCTTTTGTTTGTTTGGTTTGTTTGTTTAGTTATTTTCAAAAGGGACACTTTTTACATATACTTCCATTAAAAAATGTTTTAAGTTTCAGCTATAATGAAGCATTTGTTCAGCCAAAATAACCCTTGTGTTAATTCCTGTCATGGTCACTGTCACTGATATTAGTTTACCATATTACCATGAAACCATGATATTTTCTCAGATGGTTATACAGTACCATGAAAATCTCATACCTTGGCAACCCTAGTTTATTCACGGTCTAGTTCTGTTAACTGAACAGGCTGAGGTGGATTTTTAACCGGATCTAAGAAAAAGGTTCTCACTTGCTCTTTGCATTTATTTATGCATTAAAAGAAAAACACTCTGTTCCTCTGAACCAGTGGCTCTTCCAGGATGCGGGAGAGTACTCCCAGCAGGAAGCACATGGCGTCCAGCCCCCAGGATGCAGACCTGGCTCCGCTCTCCACTTCGGATAAACGGGCACGTTGGCACTGAAGGGGCCGCAGCAGAAACTCACGTTTTTCATTTAACTTTGGTGGCACAGCTGGCAAAAGGCGACTGAAATCTGTTATTCCAGCTGTTTCTTAATCTAAGCTTTTTGTTTTACGTATATTTTACACAAGTTTTCATTCTTGTAACTCATCGGGAAAGGTGACAAACCTGTCGGACGCTTTTGAAGTCCTTGCACATTTGTGGAACATTATCAGGCACGAATGGATAGGACAGCTCTCTTCATTATACCTGCTAAATCCAGTGTAACACCTGTCTTGCACTGCCTGAGTCCAAGTGCTTTTCTGTATAAAGTTTGAAAGTATTAGTTTGAACAGGCAAGGCTGAAATATATCTTTGTAACAGTGAAATGAAATGTTTTTCATTTAATTGTCGTAAGGTGTGTTTTGTTTTAGAGAACTGCAATGCTTTGGCAAATTCTTTTAAAATTGTGTGTTGAGCGTTGTATTTTGACAGCACTATCAAAAGCCGTATACTGTGGTATAACATGGGGAGTGTGACTGAATAAAAAGGTAAATACTTTGAGAAATTGGTTTAGGGTTTGCATACCCCACCGTGTTCTCCACATACAGGTGAAAGCAAGCTTGAGGTCAAAGCACAGGGTCAGCCGGCTCTGGTTGGTGCTAGGGGCCTGGGTCAAGGGCCCAATGCTGATATCACTCCAGAGGCCACAGGATTTGAACCAGCAGCCTTCTGATCACGGGCACAGCCCTAAACTACAGAGCCACACTGTTCCTGTAAGCGTTGCTGATTGAACCCTCTTTGTGATTGTTGTCTTCCTTACCAGGAAAATATAGTATCCCATCTAATGAAGCCTTCTCTGAATACGGATTCCATTTTGTGTTTTGTATGTAGTGGATAAGCTATAGTTCTCATTTGCTGGTAGAGATTAAGGTATATCAGCATATAGAGGATCAGTTCAGTTATTGTTTGTTCATTTTCTAGTGCCTGAACCTTGTGGTTATGGGAGTCTGCTTATGTGATTGAAGGTTACTGTAAACGTTAGGAAGACTTGTGATATTTTCTGTTAGACTAGGCACAGTGGTGGGATAACATTTACTTTTAATTGAGAAATGCACCAACGGAGCTCTTGAGTTGCATTATTATTGTGTACAGTATATTGGTTACCCAGAAAAGAGAATGTCCTGTGGCACTTTGTTAAATAGTAAAATGGATCAATCATGTAGGATGTATGAATCTGTGAAAGCAGTCAGCAGTTGGGGTCCTGGACCTGAGGGTTATTCTTTATATTTACATAGAGGTACTGGGGTGGTGCTCGGTGATCCTGGAAGGCTGCTCCGAGCCCACCGTGCACGCTCTACACCTCCTTGCGCAGAGTCATTTTGATGCTGCTGAAGATCTTTCCCATAGCTTCACAGAGCGGGTCGCAGAAGGTGTGGATGCAGAGTCCATAAACACGGCTGAGGCACTGTGTCTCAATCAAGTAGCTCTTAATACAGGGCACAACGGCCCAGATGTGGCAGAAGGAGATGCAGGCGAACAGGAAGCCCCACAGCAGGGACATGGGGATGCCGAAGACAGCAGAGAGCAGCCGGTAGCACCAGTACTTGGAGACGGTGAAGGTGGTGTAGCTGGCCTTCCACACAGTATCCAGGCTGTGGCTGCCATCTGGCTCAGCAATCACATCCTCAAATTCCACCTGGGCAGCAAAGAGGTGCTTATATCATACAGAAGCACATATCACTACCTTGGGAATGACAGGAGTTTCTGAAAATGGCCAGGTTTCCATTTGAATAATTAATATCTGAACACTAGTAAAGACGTATAGTAGTTTAGTATATTCTTGGCAAACCTTCAGTGACCCTCATTTCTCTTAGAAATGACTTAGCTGCTGCTAAGGATGCAATGTTCACATAAAAAATATACTGCTACTTGCTACTCTGACTCAGTAGATGGCAGTATGATGCAGGACATGAACTCTGCCGGCTATGTATGGTGTTACGTTGTACACCCCCTCACCCCCCCAGAGCGATATGTTTGAGCAGGATGGATGCCCTCATTTGGCAAATTGGGAAACGGATAAGGTCCATTACAAATAAATGTCTGAGAATAGAGAAAGACAATCTGAGTATTATAAGTCAATCCTCATTCTTTAATAGTATGTGAAAGTATATTCACATATCAAAAGCTGGTGTGAAATTAGTTCCCCGCTGACAGATGAAGCCAAATCAGCATAAAAGAGCAAGAAGGAAGAAAAAAATGTGGTGTGGTGGTCTGCTGGGTGACACTGTGACCTTGCGCCTT